GAGAGAGTTTCATATACTAATCAAAGACATCGACTGCTCACTTTTTGGATATTTTCCCTTATCATCTTCCTCAGTTATATTGCCGTTCAAATTTTCCCTATGTTCCATGCTTAAAGTATCTGCTAGTCGGTCAGTCAGTTCGCTTTCTCTTTTTGCATTGACTCGAGCTACTTTTAGCGCAGTTATCTGAAAAATTGGCCAGATTTGGCTAAATGCTGATGTCTCTGTCTGTGGCGCCGAGGCAACGCCTCTTCGTAGCTGCGCGACATATGGGTTCTTCTTTTTTGTCCTATCATGTTGTTAACCCGACGATTGATGAAACTTGATGTGTGTGTAGGGGTAGGTGTTGAAGTTGGTGTGCTTGTGTGCCGTGTGTGTAGGTGCCTGGGCGCCCTTTCTACTTGCCTTATCTGCGCCTTCATGCGAGTGTCTGGCGTAATTATATAAATCACTGACAGATAAACATGTTGCTTCATATGAGTCTAATAAACTCTCAACAAATGTTAAGCTGCAGGCATTTTAAATAAATATTATTTAACTAAGTCAAGTGAGAGAATGAAAGCTGTTGCTTGAGATATGAATATACAAACTGACTGAGCTTTAAGTCAATTAAAGTTATATGTAAATTCAATATTTTAAGCAATGCAGTTAGCACATTTGATATTTATAATAATTTGGTTTTCGATATTATTATTTTTTTAAATAAAATATTTTTAAACCGCTATAAAAATATTAAACAAAAAATTGCTTTAACAGTAGCTACTAATAATTTTTTTAAATGTATTCAGAATATAAAATAAAGTAAAGAAAATGAACAAAATGTCTTATAGGCCATTTTGAGCTCCAGCGCAGCGCAAATCTTCGAGCCAAACTACATTATTATCCTAGCTCACAAGATAATATTTTTGTCGGAAAAAAAACCAACAAACCTACGCTTGCGACAAAATGTTGTATGCATGTGTCTCTGTATGTGTTTTGTTTGTCTATGAGGCCTTGCTTTATGCGACATTGCCAACACAGCATCGCTTTGCATCGCATCGCAATTCACCAAGGGGTTCATTAGACTTTCAACTTTTGTTTTCGCAAATGCCGCCACACAACGTCAAAGCCAATGAACGACAAACAGGCGCAAACAGTCGTTAGACAGATGTGTGTGCATGTGTGTGTAAAGTAGGTGAAAAACATGCTAAGAGAGAGAGTGAGAGAGAGAGAGAGAGAGAGAGAGAATTAAGAACTAGTTGCCTGGCTGCAGCTGCGGCAAAAATGGCAGAAGGCAAACAAAACAAGCCAAAGGGGGGAAACAAAAATAGACGCAAAAAAACGTAAGCAAACGTGCCACATGCCGCTTGCTGCATGCGGCATGCGGCATGCCACAAAGTATGCACAAAGCCAGCTAACACGCTTGGATTGATGGCCAGAGCATTGAGAGTTGTGGATAACCGCATTACAGCTGAACCAAAATAAAACACAGCTAGTTCCCTTAGGCTCAATAGAATGTTTGAATCAGTCTGCTGCTGCGACTGCTTCTGGTTCTGGTTCTGCTCAGGATCGGCCTCGATTGACGTGGCAACTATTTGAGCAGACATTTGGCACTCTGTTTTCCCTTTTGGCCATATTTATTCATTAGTTGGCGAATGCCCGAAAGCTGGCAATAACATTTGCACGCGTCAAACTTTAGTTTTACGACTCTGACGTCTGCGCCGTAATCAAGCGAAAAGGCGTTAACGCCATTCCTGCTAACAGATAACGGTCAATTGTTGCACACAAAATTTAATGTGAGTGCCGATGTGAATGTTTACTTTTTTTTTACATTTGTTTGTCAACTCATTAAATGGAATGTATATTACTTTGCTCTAAGTTTTCTTCTTAGCAAATAAATTCTTTATGCAACTCTGGTTATATCTAATCGCCTCTCTATGCGATTTTCATTATTTTGTATTTATCACCCGTCTACTTAGTTCTCATAAACCTCAATTCCTTTCTATTCCCATGAAAATCCTTTTGAAATTCACGCTTACATTTTCTATATAATTCCTATCAAAGCTCCCATTAAATGCCGGCTCTTATTTGTATGAGCATTATAACGCCATTTTATGCACTCTTAGTGACTTAATATCTTTTTTAATGACTCTTAACTTTATCAATTCTTCCATTTAAGTCTCTGTAAAGACTTTATCTACTTTCCCCATCATCCCATCGATCGTTAGGAGACACTTTTGATTTTCTATAATACTTACTTTATCTCCCACTCATCTAAGTCCCTCTTAAATTCGCTTTCACATTTTTATCTTAAGCCTCAAGGCTATGCAATTATCATAAGTCACTTTTAAAATTTCCTAATTGCTTTTCTTATGCCATATATACATATATTATACTTTATGGAATTTTTAATTCACCCCACAGAACTTTCATTAAGCCTGCTGTAATGATATGAGGCATACTATTGACCCTACCATCGATTCATATTTCACACCTGCCTCTGTCTACCTGCCTCTCTCTCTCTCTCTCTCTCTCTCTCTCTCTCACACGATGCTGTTCTTTCTCACATTTCCTTTTAACTAGTTTAAGGGTCATAATAGCTTCGTTAGCATCTGTTTACTTGCCTCCTCCGACTGTAACTTCATCAATATTTAATGCCTACTGCTTGCAGCTCGCTCTCCCACGTCGTCGTCGTCGTCGCCTCTTCAGCTCGCCTGGCACAAATTAACATTTTGTGTTTTTGCAATTTGTCGAACAAAAAATCAATTAACTTATTAATTGAGCAGCTGCTGGTGCTGCTGCGGCTGTTGCTGCTGCGGCTCATGAGTTTGGCTGGGCGTAGTCAGGTTATTCGTGATTGTGTGTGTGAAAGCTCTGCCTCTTAGCTTCCTTTCGCTTATTTATTGAAGCTCGCATTCACGCCACGTCACGCAGAGACACAAATTAACTTTTCCTGTGCACCCCGTCAAGTCAAGGCCATTGTTGCCAGTCTCCTTATGGCCAAGCCCAGTAGAGGGACAGAGCCCTGGGCTAAGCGTTTACATACTTAAATTATTTGCCCATAGCTTCGCATGTTCGCATTTTTTATTATTCAACCCCAACCCCAACCCCAACCCCAAGTCGAACCCCGATTGCGACTTATAACAACTTTTTCACTTGAACTTGACCACAAAGCATTTCAATTGCAATTTGATTTTCAGCTTGCAAATATTGCGTGCGAGGGCAGCTAGAGCAGAAGTCAAATGTTGGAGGATTAGTTAACATATATATATAAAAAAAACCACAAAAAATACAAGAATATTAACATATATAAAATTAATATTAAATTAGTTTATTAATATGTATACAATTA